ACTCAGCAACAATTCTGCTTAGCTTAATAAACTTATAATCATACTTATACAAGGTGTAATTCCCTTGTTTCAAGCTCGTGTATTCCAGTTTCATCTGTCTTATAAACTGGTCATCAATGCACTTATTCTTGAACTCTTATACAATTCTAATCACATTTAATCTTTTAACGTTCTTATGGTGACAATTGTCCACCATACTCTAACTTACCAAAGTAGTAACAAAACTACTCAATTCAACATCTCCACTTTGAAGAAATGAAAACCTTCTATCATATCATTCAACCAAAGGTCTATAACAATAGAACCTTCCTCAAATCCACCCTTGAACTTGGGTGCTCGCAACTTTATCAACTAATTTGATACATTCATTCTATGAGTTAAAGAAGTATAAATTGAAAACACATCAGAACATTCTTCAACATGAAGAATAATTTTCCAAATTTTATACAGGCATTTCCTGAGGTGTTCGCTCTTCTCCCTGCCTGTCCAGGGAAGGTGAATGCTATTACCTTCAGGTTTATTACATTTCACTTCTTTCGAAGCTCTTATTATCATATTTCTATTATCACATAATAATCTATTTTTTTATTAGCAAGACAACATACTCCTTACACTATCAGATCAGAATTTTTCACTTTGAGTTGGTATGTACACTTTTTAAAACACTTCTGACTTCGATTTAAGCCTAGAATCGGCTAAACCGTAGCTCTGATACCATTAAATGTAACACCCCAACCCGTATCCGACCCGGATACGAATCCGATGTGTCACATTGACTTTTAAAAACATGTACTTGTATAAAATAGTGAGTAATTTAAAACTTTTATAACATATAAATAACTAATTTACATAAAAGACATTTTCATTATTACAAAACCAATCAGAGCATGTATCTTTCACTTATTATTTACATATAACTATTCGAAACATTTATAAAACGGTTCATAGCTTAAACAATATATTCTTTTGAAAACATGCCAACTAGAACTTTATATGCTAAAATACCTATTATTCACATCTTTTCTGATCTGACCTTTAGTAAGAAGAACTGACCTATCTTGCTCCACATTGCTCTTTACTCTTCTCGAAACCTACGTGTAAATCACTTACACGCTAAGTCAAAGACTTAGTGAGGCATATAAACATATAAGGTAAACGGTAACTAATAATCATACCTAAACAATTACTACTATCATTTCATACCACTCATACTTTTACATGTAACAAATATATGCATACATATATGTCGTTATCATTCATATCTCTTATCTCATGTTCCTATGATCTCTTATGTCCATATCATATAACATATACCATAACCAATTGCACATATACATATCATGTCGTGTACACTATATATATATACTATCATAAAACACGTACACCCAAGCAATTATATTATCATCTTCATTTCTTTCTTATTTTATCACTATCATTGATTCCTTTCATCATATGGTCTTATAAGTTACCATTTGTACAATCAATATCACCCATGAAATTCCACAAGGAAATAAACATATTATCATATCATTTTATTAATATTATTTATTTAATAGCCAATGATACTCATGTGAGAACTAAAGATATGCGAGTACATAGAGGTTGTGCACTAATGCTGTCACCACAACTCATATAATTGCACCGAATTGCCACATATAATTGCACCGGAGTGCCGCGTAGAATTGCACCGTAGTGCCATATAATAATTGCACCGGAGTGCCGCTTAGAATTGCACCGTAGTGCCATATAATAATGTCCATAATGACCACATATCATTCCTTAAGAATCATATACATATACTAGGGATCAAGTATGTGTCTTACCAGACTTCACACATGTTCCAAAGAATACATATATGTTCCGAAGGACCACATATCATTCCTTAAGAATCATATACATATGCCAAGGATCAAGTATGTGTCTCACCAGACTTCACATATGTTCCAAAGAATACATATATGTCCCGAAGACCACATATCATTCCTTAAGAATCATATACATATGCCAAGGATCAAGTATGTGTCTCACCAAACTTCACACATGTTCCAAAGAATACATATATGTCCCGAAGAACCACATAGACCCTCGACTCTTGGCATGCCAGCTATACCCCTAGCTCTCATGACACATAACATGGACATTATCTTTTATATCCTTTTACATATTCATGTAACCATATCATATATTCATATAAGCTCATGGTTTCTTTCACATATACATGTAATCACGTAGTTCATATCCATTCTCATACGAGTTCATATTCATATAAACATAGGATTCACTTTCACATATCACATATACTTTCTCTTTCATATAACTCATGTCTTGTGATCATGTAAACACGTATCACATAAAATAACATGTCAAACATATCACACAACTGATATAATATTCTCATATATTCATGTAGTTCAGTATCACATATCATATGAATCATATAAATCATGTCACATATACTCATGCATACATAAAATTCACAAATCAAATAACATTTTAAGAGTTACTTATTACCATAGTAACTCCGTCACTGGCTCATTGCAAGCCAATGCTTATTCGATAACATAAGTACAATGAAATTGCACTCACCTGGCCTCCCTAGTCCATTCCAATCTCTTATCTTACCTTTTTATCGATATTACTTGTCAATGATTCTGGAACTCGTTTAGGCTATGAATCTACATAATTATACATTTTAAGACAATTATTAGATACCTACACCTTGTAATTTGATACTAGCAACTTAAACGAACTTATTAAACCAATATTTACAATTTTCCTTTAGGGGGAATCGGTTCCCTCCTGTGGGGGTATCGGTTCCCCCTTGACATTCTGGAATTCTGTCGTTTGAGAGGGTATCGGTACCCCTTTGAATGGGTACCGATCCCCCCTAACCCAGAAATCATTTTTCAGCACGAAAATTACTTCATTTCCTCTCAAACACTCCATATATCATCCCATTTTTCATTATTAACTCTAGTACAGATACTTAAACCAATCTATATTCATTTATTTCATCTTAAACCTCAAAATCCTATCTTCCATATGTAATTCAATAATTACATCAATTCTGCAATATGTTTCAAATCCAATTCTATTACTCCAAATCTCTTAATTTAACTATTGACAAGTCAAATTCAACTTAAAATTCAACTTATCAACTTTATTTCAAGATTTCATTCAAAAACTCAAAATCTTTAATCTCTCCTAATTCCAACATCCTCTGTTTTTAAGATGATTTAAGCTTTCCTTAAGCTTAGTTATCATCTAATAATCAAAACCCAACATTAAAATCAACAATTCATTTATAAACAAAGAAACTTACATTTGGCTCTTGGCTTCCACGTGAAGAAGAAGAAGAAAGGAGAAGAGAACTCTGGAGAATTCTCTCCCTTTCCACGTGAATATAATTCCATTTTTAATTCCTTAAATGATCAAATGACCATTTTACCCTTTATTTCCTTTAATAATTACTAAATAACCTTCATCATATATATCCAATAATCATTGAACCATTTCATTCTTCTACTTTAGTCATCAAATTCTGAAACTTTACAAATTGGTCACTAACCCATAATTTGGGATGTTACAGCAGCCTTGTAGACGAGTAGCTCGCTCTTGAGCTCATTTACCTCCCGCATTATTTCGGCCCTCATGGCCAATTACATGCTCTCGAGGCCTCGGGTACGCTCGTCTACGTTCTCCGTCAACTCGCTGATGAGTGCTTGGGTTTCTTCACGGAGTACATCCTCTACGGATTCCACCTTCTCCAAGCGAGCTTCAACCGAGTCTTGAGTCTCTTGGACTTCATTATATCGATCTTCCAATCTACCGACCCGTTGCTCGAACGAGGCCACCATGTCCTTCGAGTTTGCTCGCTTCTTCGGTACGACAACACGAGACACTTCGCTTGATGGGTTCTCGTCTTGGTTGTGTTGTGCCATTTCTCGTAGAACTAGCTCTGATACCACTTGTCACGCCCTTGGAACTTCGACGCCTTGGAACGTGCGGCCTTAGTCGCTTTCTTAGTGATTGCGGCTAAGTAAGCCTGAAAATATCCTAAGTAAGGATGCTTAGAACCTCGACGGAAGCTAGACAAGAGAACTAGCACAAGAAGGAAGATAAGAAAGCTTTGAGAGAAGAATGCTCTTATGATTTCTCAAAGTGAAGGAGTAAGTACAAATGAGGAGGGGAGGCCTCTATTTATAGCTAAAGCTCCCCTCAATGAACGGCTAAGATCTAATTACATCGACGGTTGAGATTAATCTTTACCTACCAAAACAAGTGGGCATTATCTATACAAATTTAAATGCCACCTAGGTCTTTGTGGCTTCTAGAAGGTCCAAACCCCTATTTGGGCTATTTCTCATGGGCTAACCTCGGTGGTGGGCTTTGGTCCGTGACACTTGGAAAAAGCTTTATTTCAATTTGGATTTTAATTTTTTTTTTGTAAAAATAGGTTATATCACTTCGTTCTCCCTTTATTAAAAAAAATTATATAACATTTAAATATGTGTTGCTTAGAGTGTCATGTGATATATAATATATATTAAAAACTAGTTCGAATTGATTCGATCTATATGTTTTAAAAGAAAAATCCCTTTTATGTATTGTTTTTTTAAAAAAAAACTATTTTTTTGAAATCAATTAATTAAAGCCAATACAAATTAATAAAAATAAAATTCAGTTCAAAATTAAATAATTATATATTTTTAATTTATGATCCGATAACTAAATACAAACGATTTTTACCGAATCGAACTCGATATTATGGTACAAATCAAAAAATATTCAACCCTGGTTGCAGGCTGAAATGGATAACCTATATACACATATCTTCATCTTCAGTAATTAAAGTTTCTTAATTCTGCAATTGTTTGATTCATTAAGACTCTTTATGATATTTTATTTGGGATATTATTATTTACAATCAAATTGTTTTACTTGAACACAGAAGAAATGTAGATTCAAAATCATTTGAATGGATAATAACACAAATGCTGCATCATCAACATTAAAGAAGCCAACCCGTTTTCTATATGCATGCATGTCCACAAGCTCATCCACCGGACATCACTGGCAAAAGCTTTTAAAACGTCAATAATTCAGTAATCACCTCATCAATCAAAGCACTCAGTATTTGACCCTCGATGTCGGCTCCGACGACTACGAATGCATCCACTTCAAAGTCCAGCCATTTTCCATGCTGGCTGCTCATGTCTTTGTCCACAAGCTCATCCACCATGCAATCTCCCATGCCTCTCCACCCGCATATCTCCTTGTACACCTCCTCGGCTAGCCTCTCGTTTCTTCTCAGGATCATCATCCCTGTCGTCCACATTTTGTATCCCCCGCTCACAGACTGTCTGCATCTCGAGTCTATGCATTCACTGACTGAATCAAAGAGTGCCTTCCTGTCCAGCCTCAACTCCCCACTGTTACATCCGAATCCACCTCTTCGGCTTTCCAACTGATCAAAAAGATGAGGATTTATGGTTTCATAAGCACGGCCCAAGGAGAAGTCCTTGAACATCAACTCCACATTACACAGTATTTGCTTCACATATTCAAGTTCCCAGTTGACTAACTTCATCGATTCTGACATAACAAAATTTTCATTACTTTTAGCAACTGTTCTTGAACGCATGGAAGAAGCTGAATCGGATAACTCGGTATCAGCTTCTTGTGAGCGTTGCTTCTTTAAAGAACTTAGCCCGAGAACTTCCTGAGCTTGAACAGATGAACACTGCTTGCTTCCTGATATTATGTGCAAGATAGACATTAGTATACCAAAATGAAAAACTAAAAGAGTTTCGATTTGATATCGAACATAAAGGGAGAGCCAAAAGCTTTACCTTCAATGCTGAAACTATCTGTGCTATCTGAGGAGTTGCAGCTTTCAGTTGAAAACAAAGGCTCGAGGATAGAAACCGGACTTGGTTGCCATGCGTCACGAGGGCTGCTACTGCATTCATCAACTCCTCCCTGAATATACACCACATTACTGTTAAATATAATTTCAAAGAAATAGTTTTGATGCACTTTATAGCAACACTTGTGCTTGAGATGAAAAATGATTAACCATTAAAACCTCAAAAGTGAAAAAATCAAACTGTAGATTTACTTGCTATTATACCTAGAAGCACAGTAAAAAAAAATTCTTAGAAAATTGAAATGCTAACTCCTTTACCTGAAGCTTTTGTTTCAATCGAAGCAGTTGAAGATCAGCAGATGAAAGGTTGGAACCGTAACAACTACCCAGTTTATCATGTAACCTGGGCAAGCTACTAGTGCTGTTCCCCAACTCTTGAGAAAACGACATAGAATTAGAAGCCGATACTGAATTGAGAGATTTTTGGTTGGATGATTCGACTGCATTAGTTAATTCTCTTAGTTTTTGTTCCAGAAGCATACTTAAAGCATCTCCCCCTATTACATTATATCTTGATGAAGATGACTTCATACTGTTGGTGTCGAGTAACAATCTCTTACCATGATTATCCATGCAAAAGCTGCTATTTTTCTGAGCAACCTGAGCAGATGTTTCCATTGAACAGGTAAGTGGCGATGTGAATGTGAATGAGACAACATCCATGCCTTTCTTCTTGCTATCTTCAACCCAGCTGAAGTTTCTTTCAGTAACAGGACGATCTTCCTTCTGTTTTTTTTCAATCAACACACTATCAACAACCTGATTTTTCTCAAAATGGATATTCCTATCTTTTGATGTTTTCTTCCTTGGATTCTTCATATCAGAAGATGGACCTCCTTTCCCCCCATCCACTGTACCTAATGCCAACTTCCTCGAGCCAGTTTCGGAGTTCCCAACAGTTTTTCCTGACATTCTGTGTTGCTCGAAAGCAGAACCACCAGAGAAAACTTTTCTACTTTGCGAGTTGGAACCACCGTGCTTTGAAGGTAACTTGTCCTTATTGGCTATTGAGTTTTGCTTCTGGTTGTTCTGCATGAGTACACCAGAACAATTATGCATTAAAGGTTTCTTATGTAAACTCATTTGAGTACTCGGTTGGCTCTTGAAGGGTTGACTACACTTGACCTCACTCTGTTCTTTCGGCCCTAACAAACTTTGGTTGCTGCTTGAAGCCAATCCTTCTCTTTTCTGCACATTGACCTTAGCTTGGATTGCAAGTGAAATTGGCTTCCCTTTACTCTTGAAAACAGAAGAAATTTCTTCAGTATCAGAAGTTCGGGGTGATGTCTCTGTTGATCCATTCCAGCTCTTGTTCATCGATTGTCCTTTAAGATACTTGGCTGCATTTGATTCAACTGGACTTCTAGTCCTTTCACTGAGTCTCGATGTTTTATGAGTAGCTTCTGCTTTCTCTTTTAAATCTCGAGCTTTCAAGGACACGGAAGAAGATCCAACCGGAGGCATTTTCTGCACAGCCTCCATTCTTTCTTTGAAATCACGAACTTTCACTGGCACGGAGGATGAACCAACAAGAGGCATTTTGGATTTACTTATAGAATGTGGGCTAGGCTGAATGATTCTTGCAGCCGTTTCCATTACGTAAGCCGCATTCTTAGTCGGAATAAAACCAGGACTCTTGATAGGAGATAAAAGTTTGTGGTGGGTGATGGGAATTGTTTTAGCTGCCTTCGGGGGCAAACTTTCGATTTGGAATTTCTCTATAGGCTTGCTGACTGTCTTCTGAGGCTTTGACTCCACAAAGTTCCTTGCAGGGCCCTCAATCTTATTGAACAGATCTCCGGGATAAACTACCTGTTGGTCATGATGATAACTAAGGTTTCTGTTTCGGAAATGTGCATCGTCAAACAAAGGGGAGGAGTATGGCTCAGTATATGTGGGTAAGGAATCCAATCCCATAAGCCTGGCAACCACATTAGGCGGCCTAGTCCCATAAATATCATCATCTGTGACTGAGGAAGCGCAACTATTATCACTACTTCCTTTGATGCTTGTCCCGGCTCTAATTTTGTCCTCATCGGTCTGCAATAATCACAGCAACATTTGTAAAGAAATCTCAGATAAAATTGGTAGCCAAGAGTGTTCAACAACAAAATAAAGATTTAACTCTAAAGTCATCTGGGATTTGCCAGTTCTCACCAGACGGAGTCGGGTCATCGGCAAGTTCCCATCACTTCTTTTTCCCTGTTTCGATTGTTCTAAAATTTGATAATAGAACCCATTAGCAACCATAACAATATACGAACTATTACTGAACAAGAATATATTTTGCAGTTGCATATGCATGCCGAGAAACATGCCGCATGCTCATCTGCAAAGGGAAGACAGTTATAACCTGGAAAATCTGACTTGCTTGAGAACAATTTCTTCCGAGATTTCGCAGTCCAGTCAAACAGCTGAAAAAATCCACCTACATAACCCCCTCCATTTCTCGAACTTTCTTTGTCAACCCCCATTGTACAAAAACTGGATTCAGGACTGCTCAACTTAAAAAAGGCAATGATACAAGAGAAACAAACTCCATTCCACCAACAAAACCCATCTGCAGACATTATTAGACACAACAAACAGTTCAGTACGGAATAAATTGAATTTCTTACAATCATTTTCTAAAGAGCATATTGGAAGAGCTGATGGCTATCTGGATTCCCTAAAAAGGGAATTAGAAGCATGTTAATGGAAATGAATCAGCTTCTTTCTATTCTGAGATCTCAAAACAGGCAAACCCGAATGTACCATCTCTATCTTCATTTCTCATCCCATTTAACTAAGCATTGCACAAACTTTTCTTGCAAATGACCTTGCAGAACTTTAAACAGCTGAAAAACACGAAATGAAAACAAAAGGCAACATTCTCCTACTACCATAATCCATCTTAGATCTATATCACAATGCACTCGATCTTAGGAGATTTAGCTTTTTTATTCTCACAATGTCACAATGTCAAAGGCTCAAAGCCCTTCTATATAAATATCCCCTACAATATCATACCATTTGACCTTAGCTTCAACAGCTGAAGTGTCAAGTTTACAAGGTACTGAGGGGATTTGAGAAAAAAAACATGTAGAATCTAATTGAATGGGACCCCTATAATATACCAAGCAATCCAATTTCATTACATCAAGCACATTTAAAAATTTTAAGGCACATTCCTGAAGGGAAAAAAAGCACCCGTAAATCAGTTCTATGCTAACCAACACATTAACAACACAATCATCAATAAACATCAACTTGTAAAGAAAACCAATAGCCAAACCCCAAAAAAAAGCCCAAAACTTTAAATTGAATAAAGAAGACTTACACTAAAAACCAATGGATGAGATCAGCTTAAATGAAGCTAAATTTTTCTGGGTTCAGCTAAAATTTATGGGGTTAAGCTTAAAATTGAGATTTTTGGGAGAAACATAAATGAAAGGTTCCTCCTTTGAGCGTGAGAAACTGACAGGGAGAGAGAGAGAGAATGTGTTGCGGTTCAAAGCAATAAATGGAGACAGAGTAAATAGGATGAGAATTGTTTCTATTTTTTTTCCAAATAATAATGATAATGTTTTCTGTTTAAATTTAAAAAACAATTTAATCATATTATTAAAATGGAGTTGAATTATAAAAAAGAAGAAAAAAAAACCTACAACGTCTCTTTTAAGAGGGTCGATATTTCAAATTCCAAACAGACTTTTGACTGTTAATGGGAATTCTGATCAAGCTACCAGCAGGTTCCATTTAGTTTGTGTGCTACCTTGTCGATGGGAGAACACGTGTTAAAAAATCTCTCTTCTTTAAATTTGAGGTCAACATGGTAATTCAATGCTTAATTAAAACATCGAACTAATCTATTCTATTAATTAATTTATTGATTGAGTTTGATGTTGTCAATTAATTAGTCACTAATTCAGTTGAAAAATATAAAACTATTATTATTTATAAAATACAGTAAATATTATCGCAAGGATATTATTATCTTCTAACAATTTTATAATTATTTTAATAAAATTACTAAAATTTATTATTTGAAAGTCAAATATGTAATCAAAAAAATTTATACATAAAGCTTTTATCACTTCATCTAATATCATTTGGTAATTTAATTTTAATAAATATTTTTTTATACAAAATATTTTTTTCTTTTTAACGTATTTTTATTTCCCTTATTGAGTTTGATTTCTTCCGTTGATCAATTACTAATTCAATTGTGAAATTATAAGATTATATTTATTTACAAAACATATCATTTCATTTGAAAATTTACAGAGTTAATTGTATTATATGTCCTTAAACAATGATTTTTATTTTTAAATTAGTTCTTAAACTTTTGAATATTTCATTTTCATCCTTAAACTATGACTATCATTGTAAATAAATCCTTGAGCTTTTGAACATTCTAATTTCATCCCCAAACTATGATTATCATCCTAAATTGGTCCCAAACTTTTGAATCCTCTAATTTCATCCCCAAATTCATCCAAATATGTAATTAGTTTCAACCATTATTTAACCTAAATTTTATTTTTTTCCTAACATATAATAATATATCTTGACCTAACAATTTTATTAACAAGAGATGTGATTAGTATATACATATAGTTTGTAATGAAATTGAAATGGCCAAAAAGTTTGAGGACCAATTTAGAATGAAATCATAGTATGGAAATGAAATTGAAATGTTCAAAAGTTTGAGGACTAATTTAGAATAACAGTCTTAATTTAAGGATGAAATTGGAATGATTATATGTATAGGGATCAGTTTAAAATGAGGGTCATAATTTAATGGCTTGTGATGCAATTAAATCAAAATTACAAGATTACGACTTATTTGTAAAGTGCAAATTACACTAGATATCATTCGACTTTAGGTGATATATAATTTATATCACTAAACTTTAAATTGCTCTATTTCTAGTATTGAACCTTGATTTGACTTAAATTATATCATTGGATCATTAAAATTTTAACAATACGATAACATTGATGGATCTTTTCATCATTGTGATAATGTGTATAAAATGACGTTATTTACGCATGATTATTAATGCCCAAAATGTATTTGTGATGAAATTAAGATTAAACATGAAAAAAGATTTAATTTATTTAACTTTTAAAAAAATATGGACTTATTATATATTTAAATTAAAAAGTTCAGTATTTGATCTTGTAACTTTGAGGATTTATTTTGTTTACATATAGTATATAATGAATGTTACTACAGTTACTATCGATCAATATGTACAACGACAAGAGTTTAAACCACAAACTATCCTTAACTCCATGTTATGATGACTGCTACTTGAATCCCTTGTCGGGCATCGGATCGACGAATCGACTCGAGGTAGTACCGGACGGTGCTAGCCGCAAACGGAGATCGATCTTACCTTCTCCATTCACTTCTCTGGCTAAAGATGAATCTAGTACTGATCCCACGCCAACATCAGTTTGAACTTGGAAATGTCCCACGGAGACCCTTGGAGGTAGTAGTAGCATCGGCAAAGATGATGCAGCGAGACCTCGGAACCAAACCGCATGATCGGGTGATCTCGGATGCATTGACGGCCTTGACCGAGCTGAATGCACAGTGATAAGAGGGCCAGAAGTCAGAAGCCGTTGGTTTTGTTGATGATGGACTCGTCTTTCTCTTTTGTGAGCATTTTGATGGCCACCCAAAGCTTGAGAATTGAGAAATCCCCGGTGACAAAATTGGCACTTTAACCTCTTGTGGTAATCAATTTCAGCCACTTTGTTTTCAACATAAACTGGGAAACCGAAAAGCTTGATGGTTGAAGAAGACTGATCGACTGCATTGTTCTTTGATTCACTCATTGATGGCTGATGAATTGATTCTTGCGATTGTCCATACAATTATATAGCCATGCACATGACACATGATTTTATATTAAGGGAAAACTTATAAAATTCTAGGTGAGAAAAAATAGATTATCAATTAAAAATACAAAAATATATCTAAAGTATATATTAATTTGATATTTTCAAAGACGACTGCTCACCTGTCCTACTTCGGTCCATCTCTAACTATGTAGACCGACACAAATACCCTTTAAAGTGGGTTGAACCATATCCGAAACAATAGGTTTAGTTTTCGAGTTTACTGTTATTTTAACTTTTTTTTTTCATGGATAGACGACATGCACTCGTGCGAAACGTTGAGACATTTCACTTTCACCATATTTTCTTTTCAACATATCCCATACTTTACAGTGTCTGTTAACATAAAAAAAAAAGATAGACTAATTAAAATTTTCTGTTCGAAACACTCCTTTGAATGGATAAAGAAAATGAATAAAATTTCAATCCTCGTATGACCTATTGATAGTGCTCGTTTTCTATTTTTAAAAGTATTTATGTTTGATTCATATACGTTAAATTTTTAATATCTTGTTTGTTTTTTGTTTGTTTGTTTATTTTTATAATATGTTAATTTTTGATTCGTTTAATGTTCACAAACATATTTGTTTATATGTTCGTCAAAATGTTTGTTTAGTGGTAGCTCGTTTATATGTTTTGGAACAAGTGAAAATTAAAATGGTGAAATTTTACCCTTAGTCCTTAAATTCATTAGGCTTCACAGTTAGAACTCCAAAGTTAATCATATGTTCAATTTAGTCCATACTTTCACCAATATTTAAAAACTAAAAAGTAAAAGAAAAACAGGTAAACGAGCTTATAAACAGGTCGACAAACGAGATTAGAAATGAGTTTGTTTGTGAATATGAATGAATCGAACACACTTCTATTTGTGTTCATTCGTTTATTAAATGAACATTAAAATTATATTCATACTTGTTTATTTAACTTAATAAATGAACATAAGCGAACAATTCAAAAATAATTCATCAAACACTATATTTATTTACACTCCTACCTTTAAAGAATGATATAATTTCAATAATAATATGATATTATCCAAAAGCGAACTCTATAGGTAGACATAATGAATGCAATATTTTATATTAAAAGAGTAAATTTATAAAATTTTAAGGGAACAAAATATAGAAAAAAAGAAAGATGTCCCATACTTTCTATTTTTAAAAGTGTTTATGTTCGATTCGTATACATTTAAACTTTTAATATCTTGTTTGGTTTTTATTTGTTTATTTTTATAATATGTTAATTTTAGGTTCGTTTAACGTTCACAAACATATTCGTTTATATGTTCATCAACATGTTTGTTTATGTGTTCAGGAATGAGGGAAAATTAAAATGGTGAAATTTTACCCCTAGTCCTTAAATTCCTTAGGCTTCATAGTTGGAACTCCAAAGTTAATCATATGTTCAATTCAGTTCATACTTTCGCCAATATTTAAAACCTAAAAAGTAAAAGAAAGACCAGGTAAACGAGCATATAAACAGGTTGACAAACGAGATTACAATTGAGTTTGTTTGTGAATATGAATGAATCGAACACACCTCTATTTGTGTTCATTCGTTTATTAAATGAACATTAAAATTCTATTCATGCTCGTTTATTTAACTTAATAAATGAACATAAACGAACGATTCAAAAATAATTCATCGAAAACTATATTTATTTCACTCCTACCTTTAAAGAATGATATAATTTTAATAATAATATGATATTATCCAAAAGCGAACTCATTGATAGTATAGGTAGACAGAATGAATGCAAGATTTTATATTAAAAGAGTAAATTTATAAAATTTTAAGTATGACAAACTTATAAAATTTTAAGGAGAGAACCAAATATAGGAAAAAAGTTAAAAAAATATAAAATTTTTAAGAGCTAAATCGTTTGGTTGGTCCATTCCTGTATGTAGGGTTTTGGAAACATGCAAAACAGAAGTTTCCTCTTTTAACGATACGTTAACATGTGTAAAGAGTGAGGACCCCCTCCAACATGAATTATGTAAGAATACCTTAAGCATGCATAAACATACAAATAACATAAAGTAATATGGTACTGTAGTTTCCTTTTTTGCTTGGTCAATATATAAACAAGATGAGATCAATAATGGCACTACTTCTCACTGTCTAGCCTTTTGGCAGTCCAATAATTTTGAAGCATCGATTATTACATGCACTTTGTTTTCTCAATAGGGACACCATGGTTATCCACATACCTTAGTTTTGACCAACAAAAACCTTAAAAAAATAGGATATCTATTATTATTTTATCTATTCTTTTTAATATGTTAATTATTATCATATAGATATAGGATTTATTTATAGGTTATGTAAATTTTGTTTATGACTAATGATGAACGATTACGATGATCAAATTTACATCATATAATAATTAATAAAAAACAACAATAAATATAAATTTGACTTAAAAATGGATAAACTAATAGACCGATTAATTGATTGATTTTTATGGAATTAAAGATCGCATTAATTCAAGAGATTACACAAGGAATGAATCCTTGATATCATTCCATCATAACTTGAAGTCTTGAACCTGCACAAATTATTACCACTGAATTAGTAATTTATTGGCAACACTTAAATTGTTATATGAGTTAAACGAATAAAATTTATATTAATGAAATAACTAATGGGATTTGTTGATGTCTTTCTATGACGAGTTGAGTTGTAAGATGGACTGAGTTGTGTATCTAGACATTCTCTAAGGTTAAGTTAATACTTTGACTGAAAAACGAGTAAGGTTCAAGAAATAACAAATAAAAATGTATAAAGGAGAGGCCATAACCAAAAGAATATTAATATTGGAGCCGACTAATTAACCTAACAAACCAAAGTTATTATCATTTAATTCGTTCAATCATCGTTTACAACCACAATTACTGATAGCACAGACAATAAATAACAATATAAACAAATAAAAAAGAGAGAAGAAAAAATATTTATCTTCATTTTGATGAGTTTTCGACAAAGTAATCCTTGGACAATCCAATGGTAGGAAGGCTTTGTTTGGTTGAAATTAGTTCGATTTCAAGTTGATCTAATCGTAGACAATGACAAGTTAAAAAGTTTTAACATTTAGTTTAAATTGAGATTTAATAAGTTATAAGATTTTTCGTCCAGTTTAAATTGCAGGAAATAAAAAAAAGAAGAAAAATAACTTGAAGATCTTTAATATTGGAGAAGCTACCAAACGAAAATAGAAATGACAATAAAAAGAGAGGTGACAATAGTTAATTTGAAGAGAGCAAAACAAGTTTTAAAACCTTTTATTTTTTTAAAAAAAATATAGGCTTTAATATGTTACATTAGTCTTTTTTAACTATAGTTAATGATAGTGATTGTAGTTAAAGTGAAATAAAAATTTAATGATTATAAAGAAAGTTTTAAAAGTTTGACGACTAAAGTGAAAACACCCTTAAAAGTTTAATGACCATTAATGTAGTTCATTTTTTTTTCTTTTAAATAGTCTAGGGTGATTATAAAGTAGTATATATTCATAATATTTCTTAACTATTGATAACACTCGTAAATACAATTGCTTGAACTTAAAATCTCTACGAATAACAAAATTATCTTTAACCATTGAGACCACTTGATTTAATTCACTCTTAAATTAAAGACTTAAGGGCGCATAAAACCATTGTACTTAAAAAAAATTCAATTAAGCCCATGAATTTCTTTTACAGCTTATCAAACTCTTAAAACCCCAAAAAATTAATTAATATGATGATTTAATCGATGGAAATCATTATTGATTGTTATAGTATTAATGTGGTTCACGATACTAATGGAATGATATATGATGTTGATATAGTGATCCATATGTATTAATATTACAATTCACATGCGAATAAAGACATAATAAATAGATTAAATTATTTTTTTAAAAAAATTGACAGCTTAATTAATTTTTATAAAGTTTGAACATTTATTTAACTTTTACGCAATAAAATAAAAAACAATAATTATTTAAAATTATTAAAATATATATTAAAATTTACTAAAAATAAAAAACACAATTAAAATTTTTAAAAAAAAATTGTAAAAAATTAGCGTTAATATATCCAAAATTAAATCAAATTATTATAAAAAATACAAAATATTAAAAAAGAAATCGACCAACCAAATCCATCTCTCCTTTCTGAAATCCGGGGTCACTCTATTATCCTACGCCGACCGGCGACGGATAAGACGCAATTCACAAGTGACACGAAATTCCTTGAGAACCGTTTGTATCCACGCTCCTCCATCGCGCGTAACCATTGATCAGAAAGAACTTTACATGCATCTCCCCATAAATCACGGTCCTCGAACCGGACCCCACCAAAACTAAAACAACCCCTAGATATAGATCCAACGGCTAACAATTAACATGCGCGATGATAACATAGGGCACCGCACCGACGGCGCACGCTAGCCAATCTTCCCTGTGAACAGTTATGGTTCTCCAGAGGATGCGCTCTGCTCACCCCTCCTTAACCTCCCCGCCAGTTTAATCTGTTTTTTTTCTCTCCATCTTTTAATTGATTTTTGGTGTTTCAGTTCGTTATTGACCGTTATAGAAAGAAATAAAAAAATTCCAGGTAATTTATTCTTTCTTTAAATTCATCTCCTTCAATTTGTATTGATTTCCCTTTTCTGGGTTTTGATTATTTTCTAGAGGGTCTCCAATGGCTACGAGATCCAGATTACAGTGAGAAATTTAGCTCTCGAGTGAGTTCCTTTCGCTCCAATTTAAGCTTTAATCTTTGGGTATTTTCTTATTTTGATCTGCCTTCTTTTTAAAAAATCAAATATAGTGGAATTCCAAGTACCCTTTCATGTGAAATGTTAGTCTACACATTGTGTTAATGGAATAATTAACTTTTTTTAATGTTAATTTTAAGTGATCGGTATTAGTCATCAATGGATGCTTTGAGGAATTAAGTATTTGATAAAAGAAATTAGCTACCTTGAAAAACAGTATCGAAGGAGAAGACTAGCTAGTTTCTCTACTTGAGTATTCAAATTTTGTTTAACTATTGCTTTATATATATATATATATTGTGTATAACTGAGATTTTGTTTTTCGTTTGTGGAAAGAATGTCTGAAGGAACAAGTATGGTGATGGAATCTTCTGAAAACGGCACTAATTTATCTCAAGATGATACTGGAACTATTGTTGAAATGCCCGAGTCAACAATATTGTCACAGCAAACTTCTGTGAATCTCGTTCCGTTTATCGGCCAAAGGTTCATATCACAGGATGCTGCTTATGAATTTTATTGCAGTTTTGCCAAACAATGTGGTTTCTCAATCAGACGCCATCGAACTCGAGGAAAAGATGGGGTTGGGCGAGGAGTAACGAGAAGGGATTTTACTTGCCATCGAGGCGGATATCCGCAGATGAAACTATCTGAAGATGGGAGGATGCAAAGAAATCGCAAATCATTTCGTTGTGGTTGTCAAGCATACATGCGCATTGTCAGGCGAGCAGATTTTAATGTCCCTGAATGGCGTGTTACTGCCTTTAGTAACATTCACAACCATGAACTCTTAAAGACAAATGAAGTATGTCTTCTTCCTGCCCACTGCACCATTACTCCAGATGACAAAGCACGGATTTGCATGTTTGCAAAAGCTGGAATGTCGGTGAGACAGATGTTAAGATTAATGGAGCTAGAGAAAGGAGTTAGGTTAGGATGTCTACTGTTCACGGAAATAGATGTGAGAAACCTGCTGCAATCTTTCAGAAATGTCAACCGCGATAATGATCCTATTGATTTAATTGCAATGTGCAAAAAACTGAAAGATGAAGATCCCAACTTCCAATATGATTTCAAATTGGATGGCCATAACAGGCTGGATCATATTGCATGGACTTATGCTTCATCTGTTCAGTTATACGAGACATTTGGAGATGCTGTGGTATTTGATACGACGCACCGTCTGGATTCCTATGACATGCTATTAGGTGTTTGGGTTGGAGTAGACAACAATGGAATGGCCTCTTTCTTCGGTTGCGTCCTTTTACGAGACGAAAACATACAATCTTTTTCCTGGGGGTTGAAGGTAAGAAACCTCCTTTTTGGTGGAACTAAAATATACTTGTAAAATTTTACCTACCGAATAAACGGATATGCAAGTTATCATAGTGATGGAGCCCCTGCCCTGGACTTTGCAACTTTTTCTTGGGATAATTAACTTTTCACACTTCGACTTCACCTTCAAATTTATTCTGAAGTTTCAATGCAGTCAAAGTACGGTTTATGAAATATAAAAACGCGATTGGAATAATTTAATCTTGAAGTTAAAAACAGCAAGGTCTGCAGGGTTTAAAATGCAATTGATGTATGTTTTGTTCTTTAAGTATCTAGTTCTTATGTTAGTCTCATTTTCCTTGTATTCTTCTTTTCTTTTGATCTCGCAATGCATGTTCTTTCTGATTCTTTGTGTTCCCGACATTTATGCAGACGTTTAGAGGCTTCATGAAGGGAAAGGCTCCACAAACCCTACTAAGTGACCAAAATATGTGGCTAAAAGAGGCTATTGCCATTGAAATGCCTGAAACCAAGCATGCCTTTAGCATTTGCCACATTATCTCAAAGTTCTCAGATTGGTTCTCTGTTATGCTTGGGTCACGATATGATGATTGGAAATCTGATTTTTATAGACTTTATAGTTTGGAACAGTTAGAAGATTTCGAAGAAGAATGGAGAGAAATGATTGATAAATATGGACTCCATGATAATAAGCACATTATCAGCTTATATGCATTGCGGATGTTTTGGGCTTTGCCATTCTTGAGGCCTTACTTCTTCGCAGGTTTGACGAGTTTATGTCAATCAGAGACCATTCTTGCTTTCATCCAACGGATTTTGAGTGCACAGTCCCAACTAGATCGTTTTGTGGAACAAGTGTGCAAATTTTGATTACTTTTCTCCTCTTGAATTATTCAATAGATGTATATTCCCTTCACTATGCCTAATTTTAAGTGAACATTCGGTTTTTTGCAGGTGGCTGAGATTGTTGAATTCAATGACCGGATTGGTTCTAAGCAAAAGATGCCCAGGAAACCGCAGAAAGTCTGCCTTAAAACAGGCTCACCTATTGAATCCCATGCGGCTACCATTCTTACACCTTATGCCTTCGGTAAGCTCCAAGAAGAGCTTTTATTGGCTCCACAATATGCATCGTTTGTCGTCGATGAAGATTGCTTTGAAGTCAAACACCATACTCAGATGGATGGAGGTTGCAAAGTGATTTGGATTCTTTGTGAAGAGCAGATTAGTTGTAGTTGCCATTATTTCGAGTTTTCAGGCATCCTTTGCAGGCATGTTCTTCGTGTTCTATCAACTAATAACTGTTTCAGTATTCCAGATCAATACCTGCCTGGCCGTTGGCGCATAAATAGTTCCCCTTCCACAAACCCACCAAAGAACGCAATGAGAGAGCACTCTGAAAAGATTCAGCTGTTAGAGTCCACGACTTCAAGACTTATAGCCGAGTCAGTCGAAACAGAGGAACGTCTCGATGTTGCATGTGAGCAAACTGCCATCGTTCTATCCCGCATCAAGGACCTTCCCAGGTCAACACATAGTGCGAATGATATCATATACAATTGTCAATCCGGTTTGATCTTACCAGAGGTAGGAGATACCGATGGAATTGTTCAAAGCTTCACGATGGGGACTCCTCATGAACCTCTCAGTTCAGGAAAGCTGAAAGATAGAAGGCCAAGAGACGGGATCGATATCACTCGAAAACAAAGACAATTTTCCGGTTCTTACAGTGGACAGTTCGAGCATGACTCATCAGATTGTCCAATGATGGGAGGGGACAATTTGAATGGGGATGCATTAGGATACATGTAGGCTAAAGCATTAGAAGGTTTACAAACAAAAAAGTCTGATGTTATTGTTAGTTACTCTTCCAAATTTCAGCTGGTAAAAAGAAATCCCATAAATCCAAATATAAATATTTGTGTTAAGGTTTACAAATTTCGGAATTCAAACTTTTTATTCACTAAATACCTTCATTGAAAGATGTTCGTCTTAAACAGAGTTGATTTCTAGACTTTGGTGAGAATATAATAAGAAGTTGCAACTTTGTCAATCATAATCTTATTTTAAGTTTAAAATAATTTCTCAGGATGATGGGAAGAGTCCTACTCTTATTCTTTAACTTTTATGGTTTAATTACATTTTAAATCCCTATTAATTTTGATACTAGTCAGAGTATTTTTTAATATAATTATTTTTTACCATTCAATTGATTTTACAATTTATGAAGTTAAATTTTAACTTTCAATTTTTTTAGTTTAATTTTTTCTTATGTTTATTAATTTTGAAATTAACAAAATTAAACATTTATCACTAATTATATGATTTTATTATTGACTATTTTAAATGTTTGTTAATGATAACGAATATAGACGATTCACCTTTTCTAATTTTGGTGGAAACTCACAGTTGATAGTTTTAAGAAAAATAATGTGTTGAAAATTGTGGTCGTCTCTAGTATAGAGAGGAAAAAGAGTTTAGAGAAGAAGATCCCATTGATCTGGTATGGAGAGTTTATATAGAGACTCTTATAGTGCAGGTGTTTGACCTAGGGTTAAAATTGGTTGACATGTTGGATGAATATGATTGTGTGACAGTAAATCTAGAACCGTTAGATAAGTGAAAATAGATGGTTGAACTTATTAGCTTATGAGTGAAAGTAGATGAGTAAATTTATACAGAGACCCTTATAGTGTTGGTGTCTGACCTAAGACCGTTAGATAAGTTTTAGCTATCTATTTATGATCGTTTGATAAGTGAAAATAAATTAATAAATTTATATAGAGACCTATGTAGTGCTGGTGTCTGAACTTTTATTTTCGTTTCAAATATATTATTGAATCGTTAATTCGATAAAGGCACACTAACATGGATTATATGTATTGACGTGAATACCGTATCGAAATGAAGTCTTTTTTATGAGAAAAAATAAAGAAAAATCATCTGGTGATGTTTTGCGAAGAAGGAAGGATGATGTTTTATGGTTTGTGAGATGAAACGAAAAAGTGGTTTTTATAGAGGTGAAGAGTAACTGAGATAGGTTTGTATAGCGTCATAATTTTTAATGGAACCAAATTTAGTCAACTTAATTTTCTAACTTTGCGCCATAACCATTAAATCACTCTAATTTAGTTTTCTAAATGTTTAATCTCTATACACTAATAAATGTTTTTAATATTGTTTTTTACAAGTGTGATTAGTTACCTATACGATTATAATTAATCATATGCTTCACTAAGACACCTCAAAAAATTTGGTTAATCATATATTTAAAACTATGTACGTTAGTTAAGTTGGCACACCCAAAATTTAGAGCTAGAATCTAATGTCTCAAATTTTCGAGTCAACATATGAGAGTTGAGACATCTCGACTCTCTTAGACCGATGGAGAGATCAAAGTGTAATCTCTTTAGATAAGGCAATTAGGAGGTATATTTGTGCCTTTGGACAAAAAGGAGACAACTCAACGCCTTCGAAAGATTCCGATATGACAGAGACATCTTCACCTTTGTAGAAGCAATGGAGAGGTCTATATCCTCTATTGTGGCAAAGGCATTACGCCACTCATCATAGTAATAGAGTAATTCTTATTGCCTAGTGGAAGTATTCCAACACTCTTTGGAGGATCCGTAGAGTTGTGAGTGCTAGAGTGTGAGACAACTACTACCAAATATAATAGTTTGAGTCATGCGAAGGCATCTCAATGCTTTCGGGTGGAGGAGTATCTACACCTTGTGAAGTGAAAATTGAGTAATTCTTATTGTCAGGACAAAGACATCTCAACTTTATCGGATGATATTAAGAAGAGTCTATATAGGAGCGGAGGCATTTCAATGCCCTCGACCTGTAAGATGAGGTTATTCAGTCTGCGGTAACACACTAAAGGTATAGAGGAGGCAACTCCACGTGTTCAAAAGATTTTACATGTGTGATTGAGGCATATTCACCTTGATAGAAGCGATGAGTTGTGATTTTTCTCACTAGGGAAAAGACATCTTGAAGCTCATAAAAGCACAATGGAGAAACTCCTATTATTAGAACAGAGATTCTCTAACCCTTGGGTAAGTTTCATAAGTTGTAAGCTTCGGTGGAGACATCTCTATTCCAAATGAAGACATCTCAATAGTTTCGGGGAGGAGGAATTTTGTTATCAGCGAAAAACGTACGCATATTAACTCACTTGATCGATTAATGTAGTTAAAATACTCTTCCTTTCAAAATATAGGAGTGACAACTCAACGCTTTTAAACAGAGAGAAGGCATCCTTACTATGACATCACAATGGATGCATCTCAACGCCATGACAACATGATGAAGGATATAACTCATGCACTCCTAATACTAGAAATGTCTTTAAATTCTTAATACTTAAACGGAGGAAAAAGAACTTTGGTTCTATTATGTACTAGAAATGTTTAAGTGCTGCACAATATGCTAAAAGGAATTTTATTCCTAGCTCTGTTTGAAAAGTAACTATAGTCTTAGTCTGAGATAAAGATAGAGATCTAACTAATAAGTTTTGTCTAGTCGTGTCTCTAATCTCTAAGATTAATATGGAGGCTACTCTCGGACCTATCAGCTATAAGGCGATTATTAAAGTTACATGTGTATCTTACCAAGATTATTTGTTAAAGGAGTAGTTAGGGGCGACGTCTTGGAGCCCTTTCTTTTCAATTAGTAATTGGATGTCGCTTTCTCATATGGGAATCCTTGTATTCTTCGGAGAGTTTTCTCTCTAACTCTATTAATCCTCTTTTGATGCTACCTTTGGTGGTCCAGCTGCGAGCTTCTACTCAGCAGACCTTGATGGAGGGTGTTATGGCACACCCTTTCAGTGCTCGTGAGAAGAGGGATCTGAGTGGAAAAAAACATATCGATGAGATATTAGGAAAAAGTCGAGGAGTGATAGTCTATTTCACTTTTAGAGTTGCATTTTGACTGATTCTTTTATGTTAGCTAGGAGTTGTTTTGATACATGCATCACAAGACTCACATCAAAGAAAGATATACTAGCACTTCCAATTGATTCACACGAACAAGCCTTGGAAAAGAAGAATAACAGAATAGCATACTTGTTACTGCTTTTTGAATGGGTTCCTGATCTTATTCTGTCAATATTTCTTCTAGAGATATGATCGATTGTCTCTTAGCTTTCCAACAGTTTTTCAATCGCATCAATGCGATATCGGAAACTCAAGATACATTCGTTTTACTGAAGACAGTTCATGCAAAAATTTCTATACGAGATTTTATAAACATTACGAATTTTTAATATTTTTATTGATCATTTATAACATAATTTAATATAGGATGATGCATTATCTTCTAGGATTGGATTTATTATTTTATTACGAACTAAGATTGAGTTAAAATAATATTCTTAGTTTATTATTATTTTATTAGGAATTAGGATAAAATCGAAACATTAACTTTATTCATTAGTTATGTTATAACAAGTACTCCTCACCCTATATAAAGGAGGCTTCATTCAACTTTGAAATGGTAGATTTCTTTGATTAATAATACAACGAGAGTTCGTTTTTACAAGTGTTCGTTGACTTGTTCCTTTGAAGCTTCTGTTCATTAAGTTCTTTCAAGTTCTTTATGAGAGAGAGATATTCACACTCTGGTTTGCCTTCTCATTGTGATTAGGAGGGCTAGTTAGAGCCGATTATCAAGTTTGTCTAGTCAATTGTGACTAGGAGGGTTCGTAGGACAATTATCTATCAATCATCATCGAATCACCATTCTCGCCCATCATCACCAAAACCCTAACATGGCTAAGTTATTCCTATCATGTTATTATTCTTATTTTTCCTTATCTTTATTTTATCTTTATTGTATTAATCTTATTCTTCTTATTCAATTTCCAACAAACCCTAAAAATCTTAATTGATACTGCCCCTCTATCAATTTCCCCTTCATTATTTGATTGAGTCTAGATCTTTCTAGGTTTGATTCTTCAACGACGAGCAATGTTCATAACTCCGATGTCGTTCCTTATTATGTTTCATGTTCATCGTACTAATTGTTGATTGAACAAATGGGTTGCGTCAGCTACTGACGGTTCACCCATTTTAATTTAGATGGAGAACTTCAACCAATGGTGATACGACGGTTGGCTAGTGCTTAAGCTTTGTCTTCAGAAGGAGGTAGAAGAGTAATGATTGGAGCAAAAAAGTTCTAGATTCTCCTCTTGGGGTGTCAAGTGTAGGATCATGATGACTATTCGTAAGCTAGTAAGATGGATAAACTCGATTGATATGATCAGTTTCAATTGATTATTGCTTTAACAGATCACGTAAGACTATCAAAGGGTCATAACTTTCCGAGAGGTGCAAGGCTATAGAGACCCTATGTCCAACGATTTTCTTCGAAGGCATCATCTGCAAAGAAGTCCTCGGAAAGTCTTGATGTACGGAAATATGAAGATGGTATAACAATGTTTAAAAGGTGGAATAACATGTGCAGTGTATACATATTTGGTTATGAATAAATGAGATTGTTATGTGTCTATTTCAATCTATAAGGCAAACCTTTACACAAGTGTTAATGTAAGGATAAATATCAATGCGTAATAAATGAAATTAACACTCCCCTCAAGCCGAGTCCAGGATTATATACGAAGGCAAAGCTCGTCACAATGTAACCCAAAATCTGCTTGACGTGATGATTTGACCAACTTTCAGGAAACGAATGTGAATTCAACCAAGTTTAATTTCGTGATAATTAATCTTGAAATGATAGTTAAAGTATGGAAAAACAAATTGGAATACAAGTAGATTGGAGTAATAACAAGTAATGCTTTTCCTTGAAGACTGGAGTAAAACAAAACGGAGCTGAGATTATGCAAACATTAAGGGAGTGAATAAATTACAC